CATTTAGACGATCATATCATCAATTACAGCGAAATAGACTGAACTACAACTCAAAATTCCAATATTAATAAATCTATCATACAGATAATAATTAATAATGGCTCAGCAGTATTAACTGATAATTGACCTTGCGCATCATATGCAATTTAAAATCTCTAGATGATCCTCAAGTATATTTGTCTTCCAATAATAGTCAAAGGTCATAACTTTCTAAACTGAAAGAGTAGAAAAGGGAGTTTTAATTACAAATAATGTTTTTAATGGCGATGATATGATTGCTTGCGTTTATTGAATGAAAAAAAAGACTAAAAATTAAAAACAAAACGATAATAGATTGTTGCACTAGTATTATTTAAGATTTAATTAATGCTTTAATGCGTCATGATATACAATTGAATGCACAAACTTAACTCGAGATGTATCTAAACATAAATTTAGCTTAAAAGGAAAAAAAACAAAAGTTTTCGCAGCACTGTAAAGCATGGGGTTAATCCTGTTAGCTTATAAAAATTAGATTAGAGAGGAAGTACATGACAGAAGAAAGCATATAGGTTATCTTGAAATTATATAAATTAATCATCTAAGTTAGGTCTGAAATTTTTTATTAATTATAATGACATAAATCCAGATTAAGTTTATCACTTCTTAACTGGTTAACTACAAAGCTTAGAAGAAAGTAGCAGATAATTATGCATTTTTTTATGGATTAAGGGGATATTGAGGAGGATTTGTTATAGCCATTCAGATAAGATAACCAAGACATAGATTAATGAAAAATGCAGGAAATTTATTTAATCAATCTGCCATCTCTGAGAAATGTCCAACTAAAAAAATCAAACAACTGTACTTGGTTCCCCAAAAAGTGAAAAAAATATAAGCCTAATACTTTAGAAATTGGTTCAGATCTTCCCTATAATTGAATTATAAAATTGATTTCTCAATTACACATACACCTCTAATATGATGGAATACAAATTATGGGATAATTTTTGATATCAAAATCTGTATTAAAACAAATTCAGCTTAGATAAGAGGGTAAAGGAAGAAAATAATAATAATTTTTTATCAAATTAAAGGAACTGATAAATGGGAGAAAAGAATATTCTAGTAACATCAATGAGGAAATTTTGAAAATAAATTACAAGACGGTTCTAAAAATTAGAGGTATTACTGAATTTTAGATAGGCAGGCTCAAGAGTTAATATCATTTATGTACAAATACACAAATATTCACTATTCTTGCAAATAGTGCACAATTAAGAATTCTTAAAGACATGCGAAATATAAAGAAAAAGGTATTTGGTTGAAATTCAATAATCTACATATATAATAAATGAATTACAATATGGATAGACCAACTTCTATGATAGATTTGAATGTAATTTAAAGATTTTTTGTTTTGTAATTCAATCTAAAACTAATCCATAATTATTATTAATCTTTCTTTAAGCACTTGATAAAATTATTAATTAGTCTAAAAATCCTACATATTTAGTAATTTAGAGTAATTTATGGTTTCTGATTTATTCAATTACTTTAAATAATGCATCGATACTCTTATAAATAATACTATTGAATTTTATGGAGATTAAGTTTATGTAATTTATTTCCTTAAATTTGATTTTTATTAAACAGAAGGTGATGATGAAGTTTTCAAATTAATTAGAAATTAACCGTAAATTAAATAAATCTGATAAAGTTAAAGATGTTTTTTTATTTATTAGAAGCATGTTCATTCATTTGGAATAAAAAAAGACCTTTATTGCACTCTATGATTGTGATTTTTATATTCTAATTGTTTCAAACTTATCCAAATCAAAAAATTAATCATTTAGATTTGAATCAATCACATTTCTAATAAATAAGAAACAGCCTTATTGCCATTTGATATCTGAATTTTTATATTTTATCACAATCGACCTCATTAAAACCTTGTCATTATATTTATGATTGTAATGTAAGGAATTTATAGAATAATTTATAATTTATAATTAATTAGTTTAGCTTTGATACAAATTTTTTCAATAGTTTTTATTAAAATAAATATCTTTTAAATTTCAAATGCAAACTGTTTCTGAATAAATCTAAAGAAAAGAGTACCAAAGAAAAGTAAATAAATGTATAGAAAATTTGTAATTATCAGTTGAGGTATAAAGTTATGTAAATTGATATAGTAGTCATTTAACAATATTGAAGCCTAACTTGATCAACTTCTAAATGATGAATCTAATTAGATAATAGCATCTAAACGATAAAATGATTTAACAAATGTCAATTAGAGTTGTAATTTTATATTGAAAGATGATCATTTCCAATAAGAAATTTGTTAAGAAGTGACTTCTTTAATCAAGACTAATATTTAACATATTGAACAATAATATCAATAATAATTGTATGGAACTTACTCTCAATTGTAACTCATAATCTAATAAAAGGATTCTCAAATTTAATAACTTATTAATTCATAATTTATTTAACGATCATCAACATTTACATTTACTCAATTAAATCATAAACCATTCAATTATTAATTGATACAAGAAAATTCAATTAAATAATATTAATTTTGTAGTGCAATTGCCGTTAATAAAGATTGCTCAATATTAATTGCTGTTTGTGAAAGTTAAATTAAAGTGTTTGAATTTATGTCAGGAATGTTGAAATAAACTTAAATTTTAAGTGGACACACTCACCATATTAATACGTTGAATTTTATGAAGAAATCGGATCAGCTTATATCTGGGAGTTAAGATTATTCAATTATAATATGGACAAAAGATCAAAATAATTCATGGATTTGCAAATAGAAAATCGTTGGACATACAAAGAGTATCATTTGTTTGGTATTAAATAATAATGAGGATCTTATTGTATCTGGTAGTTAGGATAGTAAAATAAAATTCTGGTAAAAGTAAAATGAATGGTTCAGCTTTTAGACAATCTCTGAACATTATTCAGACGTATTTGGATTAAGTTTTAATGAATAACAAAATAAATTAATATCTTGTGGAAGGGATGAACTTATATTAGTAATGGAACAATTATAATTGAATAAATAATGGATAGTAATATAAAAGATTAAAGTAGACTCTTATGGTAAAAAATTATGCTTTATTGATGATAATACATTCACATTTTAACCTTATAATAAAGATTAATTACATATTTTTGAGATGGATAGTACTAATAAATAGTATACTTAAATGAAGGACATCCTAGTAAAAGGGGGTGAAGATATTTGGTTGTTCCCATAATAATATATAAAATCAAAATGTATCCTTGTGAATAGAAAGGCATCAAATGTCAGTTTAATAAGGAAGAAACAAAATAGTGAATTTATAGCCGAGTAATTTATTGATTTTGGCACAAATCATATTTATGGATGCTTGACTGATGATGGGTAGTTTTTGATCACTTGGGATGATAAATCAAGAGAATATTAGATCAGAAAATACTAGGAAAAATGAGTTTACAAATATAATAATGAATAAATCAATTATTATAAGTTAATTGTTTACATTTCCTCATAGTTCATTTTTTCATTGGTTTCTTCAAAGCTTTAAGATTTTGGTAGAAGTGAGTATTAATTTTGATTTTATTGTTTAACAATAATAGATTATATTAAATACCAATATTATTATCAAATACTCATGCTTGTATTTTGAATTTATAAATCCTAACTTTTCTCTGAGTTCCGTTTAGAATATAAATTGATCTGAAATTATGAAACTTTTAACTCATTCTAATAATTCTATATTTTTTGAGGATAATTACCAAATTTAAGTTGTTAATATTTTTCACAAAAATTTAAATTACATATTTGTTCTATAAAATACCTCAAAAACCTTTCAATTTATATTATTGTTAAAGTGAAAACATATTTTTCAACATAAAGTTTATATATTTAAATTATATGTATAAACTTATTATAAAATGAGATTAGATTAAATTAAAAGTCCTTCTAAATTTCGACTATTTATGATTATTAAAACCTTTTTTATAGAATTCAGAAATTCTTCAATTCTAGTTATTTCTATTCTATTTATATAACCTTCAGCACTTGATGTTCTTCAATCTATTGAAGACGATATTGTATTGATGTTAAAGAAAAAATTAGGATGTAATTTTTTAATAATTCATTCACTAGTTAATTTTGAGGTACTTCATATTAATATTGCTTATATAAAGCAATATATTATCAAATGTTTACTCCATTATAGGCTAAGTTTTATAAAAAAGTATTCTTGGAGTAATTGTAACAAATATGATATTTATTTAAACCGAAATCATAGAATAGGAAAAAGAAAAAAACTAAATTTGATAAAGAATTATTTATAAACGTTGAAATATATGAAAATTGGCCTAAAAAACATTTAAATTTTTGAACAATTATTTAGCTAACCAATTTATTTCACTTTTTATGCCATATCTTATATTTATGAATTTTGCGCCCTCAAAAAATTTTGCTTTAAAATGGAATTCATTACTATCTTTTGAAATTATAATTACAGAAGATCAGCCAACCAACCCAAATTCAGTTCATAATTTGAAGATTTCAATAACATTTATATTTCAGTAGGAAGAACGAAATTTAAACTAATTAAGATATGATACAGAACCCACAATTTTGAAATATGCAAGTATATTTAAACAATAGAATATATTAGGTTAATCAAAATCAATTTCAAGATTATTCAAATTAATGGCTGATCTTATTTTCGGCAATCTATACCATTCTTCAATTCATCAAAAATAATGCTCATTTTTATATCCACAATAAGGTCAATAAAGAAAAGGCTGAAGTTCCTTTTTCTTAAATATCAATGATTATAGATTATTCTGTTTATTTTCAAATGGTTAAGCATTTCGATGAAATCCTTGGGCTAGAATCAATAATTTTTAACTGAAAAACAATAGCTAAAACAGTCATCAACAAGAAATTGCAAATATTTAATAAAAACTTCTATTAAGCAATGAAATTTAAAGAATAAAAAATTCCACATATTATTATATTTCCTCTAAGGAAAAAGAGGTAGATAACTAAGAATCCTTTCAATAATTAGTTATATTGCGTTAACAGCCATTACATTAATAAAATTTCATAGCTGATACATTTTAAGGTTTAGATGTATATTATTTAGGGGTCTCCAATATGACAGCTCTGTAAAATCTAAAAGAAATTTATCAAAGTAATTTTACATTACTTTTTTCTAATGGCTTTTCTTTTTTGAGCTAAGATATGAATTATTTCAAGATTAAGATCTTCTTTCTATTAGAGTCAATTTATTATATTTAAATTCTTTTTCATTCAAAGTTAGATCATAATAATTCTCGGTTAAAAAATTTTCTATTATTATTTAGCATTAATGGATTATCCAAAAAATATTTCTATTTATTCTTATACATCAAGTTTGTAAATTGCTTATTTTTAAGTTGATTTGATCTTCATATAACAATAGATTAGCTAATGATTTGTTCCTTTTAGTTATCCGTTAACTTTAAATATTAGCTATTGGTAACTGAAACCTATAAACTAAACAAACCTTATTGAATTAAATTCCTGTAGTTATTCTTGTCTCATCCATTCTCTCAAAATCTGCTATTTTTTTGAAAGTGAGAAGATATTCAATACATTCTTTTTTATTAAAAATGGAATTCGAGGGGATAATTTCAATATAAATAAATTTATTCTACAGATTACCAAATGTATTAACAAGATGAACATATAAAAGATTACTACCTTAAAAAAATGGAAGAATGCTTGCAATAAGTATAAAATTAGGTTGAAGTAATATTGTTCATTAATGAATCAATTAGTCTATATTTGACAATATCGATGCTTAACTAGATTAAATTCTTAAGAGTACTTCTTATGCTATCGATGATAATTAACAAAATTCTCTTCAAACATTAACTTCTGAATATTCTGATAATTTTCCTTGCCATAAATTTGAAAATTCAAACTTTGTTGAATAACTTTATCAAGTTATGCAACCATTAATCACAAATTATATGAAAAAGAAAGAATTGTAGGATTAATTATCATAAAATGAACAATAAACCAATTTACAAATCAAAGAAGTAACTGAAGGCATTGTTTAAGAATGTGAAAATGAAAAAAGTAATATTTCGATGTCAATGGAACCTAAACTTTAAGACTAGGATAAGGGCTCGTAAACATTAGTTGAAAATATTGATGCAAACATTATTAGTATACAATCAAGCATACTTTAATCTTCTTATCTATAAAAGATGAAACCATTCTGCTATTAATTAATACAAGATTATTCATTTTAATAAAATGAGATTTGCTTTGCAATAGCTCTTAATAAAAGTTCCTCCACATTAGTGGCTGGGTGTAGATCATAAATTAAATTATTTGAATTCAGGTATGGTATCCTGAAACATCTATAGAGCTTAAATGAACACAAGAGTTCCGTATTTACTTTAAACTTTATGAAGAAATCTAATCATTTTATATCAGGGAGCAGAGATGGTACTATTATTATATGGCAAAAAATATAACAAAATTTATGGAGTAAATAATAGATACTAAACGGACATAGTCATTAAATCAATTGTTTAGTAATAAATAATAATGAAGATCAAATTATATCAGGGAGTGATGACAAAGCAATCAAAATTTGGGCAAAGAAAAATGAATGGTTATGTTAATAAACTATTAAGGATCATTCAAAATCTGTATATGGATTAAGCTTAAATTCATAATAAAATCGGTTGATATCTTGTGGTTTTGATAAGTTTATTTTAATAAGAGAATAATCAGAATTAAATAAAGAATGGATAACAGTTTAAAAGCTAACAATTGAGTAGGATGGATATCGCATATGCTTTATTGATGATAATACCTTTGTATTCTCGCCATATAATACTGAAAAGTTATAGGTTTTTGAGATGAATGATATCAATAAATAATTTATATAGACTTAAGATATTAGTGTTAAATGTGGATTAGATGGCTAATGTTTTTTCCCTTCATAATTTATTGATTAAAAACAAATCCTTGTTTTTAAAAATGGGGAATTTATTAATCTGATAAGGAAAAAGTCGAATGGAGAATTTGTTACTGAATAGTCAATTAATTTCGAAACGAATTCTTTCTTTGGAAGCATGAGTGATGATGGAGAGTATTTGATTACATGGGACAACAAATCAAATTAAATACAAATCAGAAAATAAATGGAAAAATGAATGAAAATATATAATTATTTATATCAATTACAAAAATTTAAATTACATATTTGTTCTATAAAATACCTCAAAAACCTTTCAATTTATATTATTGTTAAAGTGAAAACATATTTTTCAACATAAAGTTTATATATTTAAATTATATGTATAAACTTATTATAAAATGAGATTAGATTAAATTAAAAGTCCTTCTAAATTTCGACTATTTATGATTATTAAAACCTTTTTTATAGAATTCAGAAATTCTTCAATTCTAGTTATTTCTATTCTATTTATATAACCTTCAGCACTTGATGTTCTTCAATCTATTGAAGACGATATTGTATTGATGTTAAAGAAAAAATTAGGATGTAATTTTTTAATAATTCATTCACTAGTTAATTTTGAGGTACTTCATATTAATATTGCTTATATAAAGCAATATATTATCAAATGTTTACTCCATTATAGGCTAAGTTTTATAAAAAAGTATTCTTGGAGTAATTGTAACAAATATGATATTTATTTAAACCGAAATCATAGAATAGGAAAAAGAAAAAAACTAAATTTGATAAAGAATTATTTATAAACGTTGAAATATATGAAAATTGGCCTAAAAAACATTTAAATTTTTGAACAATTATTTAGCTAACCAATTTATTTCACTTTTTATGCCATATCTTATATTTATGAATTTTGCGCCCTCAAAAAATTTTGCTTTAAAATGGAATTCATTACTATCTTTTGAAATTATAATTACAGAAGATCAGCCAACCAACCCAAATTCAGTTCATAATTTGAAGATTTCAATAACATTTATATTTCAGTAGGAAGAACGAAATTTAAACTAATTAAGATATGATACAGAACCCACAATTTTGAAATATGCAAGTATATTTAAACAATAGAATATATTAGGTTAATCAAAATCAATTTCAAGATTATTCAAATTAATGGCTGATCTTATTTTCGGCAATCTATACCATTCTTCAATTCATCAAAAATAATGCTCATTTTTATATCCACAATAAGGTCAATAAAGAAAAGGCTGAAGTTCCTTTTTCTTAAATATCAATGATTATAGATTATTCTGTTTATTTTCAAATGGTTAAGCATTTCGATGAAATCCTTGGGCTAGAATCAATAATTTTTAACTGAAAAACAATAGCTAAAACAGTCATCAACAAGAAATTGCAAATATTTAATAAAAACTTCTATTAAGCAATGAAATTTAAAGAATAAAAAATTCCACATATTATTATATTTCCTCTAAGGAAAAAGAGGTAGATAACTAAGAATCCTTTCAATAATTAGTTATATTGCGTTAACAGCCATTACATTAATAAAATTTCATAGCTGATACATTTTAAGGTTTAGATGTATATTATTTAGGGGTCTCCAATATGACAGCTCTGTAAAATCTAAAAGAAATTTATCAAAGTAATTTTACATTACTTTTTTCTAATGGCTTTTCTTTTTTGAGCTAAGATATGAATTATTTCAAGATTAAGATCTTCTTTCTATTAGAGTCAATTTATTATATTTAAATTCTTTTTCATTCAAAGTTAGATCATAATAATTCTCGGTTAAAAAATTTTCTATTATTATTTAGCATTAATGGATTATCCAAAAAATATTTCTATTTATTCTTATACATCAAGTTTGTAAATTGCTTATTTTTAAGTTGATTTGATCTTCATATAACAATAGATTAGCTAATGATTTGTTCCTTTTAGTTATCCGTTAACTTTAAATATTAGCTATTGGTAACTGAAACCTATAAACTAAACAAACCTTATTGAATTAAATTCCTGTAGTTATTCTTGTCTCATCCATTCTCTCAAAATCTGCTATTTTTTTGAAAGTGAGAAGATATTCAATACATTCTTTTTTATTAAAAATGGAATTCGAGGGGATAATTTCAATATAAATAAATTTATTCTACAGATTACCAAATGTATTAACAAGATGAACATATAAAAGATTACTACCTTAAAAAAATGGAAGAATGCTTGCAATAAGTATAAAATTAGGTTGAAGTAATATTGTTCATTAATGAATCAATTAGTCTATATTTGACAATATCGATGCTTAACTAGATTAAATTCTTAAGAGTACTTCTTATGCTATCGATGATAATTAACAAAATTCTCTTCAAACATTAACTTCTGAATATTCTGATAATTTTCCTTGCCATAAATTTGAAAATTCAAACTTTGTTGAATAACTTTATCAAGTTATGCAACCATTAATCACAAATTATATGAAAAAGAAAGAATTGTAGGATTAATTATCATAAAATGAACAATAAACCAATTTACAAATCAAAGAAGTAACTGAAGGCATTGTTTAAGAATGTGAAAATGAAAAAAGTAATATTTCGATGTCAATGGAACCTAAACTTTAAGACTAGGATAAGGGCTCGTAAACATTAGTTGAAAATATTGATGCAAACATTATTAGTATACAATCAAGCATACTTTAATCTTCTTATCTATAAAAGATGAAACCATTCTGCTATTAATTAATACAAGATTATTCATTTTAATAAAATGAGATTTGCTTTGCAATAGCTCTTAATAAAAGTTCCTCCACATTAGTGGCTGGGTGTAGATCATAAATTAAATTATTTGAATTCAGGTATGGTATCCTGAAACATCTATAGAGCTTAAATGAACACAAGAGTTCCGTATTTACTTTAAACTTTATGAAGAAATCTAATCATTTTATATCAGGGAGCAGAGATGGTACTATTATTATATGGCAAAAAATATAACAAAATTTATGGAGTAAATAATAGATACTAAACGGACATAGTCATTAAATCAATTGTTTAGTAATAAATAATAATGAAGATCAAATTATATCAGGGAGTGATGACAAAGCAATCAAAATTTGGGCAAAGAAAAATGAATGGTTATGTTAATAAACTATTAAGGATCATTCAAAATCTGTATATGGATTAAGCTTAAATTCATAATAAAATCGGTTGATATCTTGTGGTTTTGATAAGTTTATTTTAATAAGAGAATAATCAGAATTAAATAAAGAATGGATAACAGTTTAAAAGCTAACAATTGAGTAGGATGGATATCGCATATGCTTTATTGATGATAATACCTTTGTATTCTCGCCATATAATACTGAAAAGTTATAGGTTTTTGAGATGAATGATATCAATAAATAATTTATATAGACTTAAGATATTNTACATCAAGTTTGTAAATTGCTTATTTTTAAGTTGATTTGATCTTCATATAACAATAGATTAGCTAATGATTTGTTCCTTTTAGTTATCCGTTAACTTTAAATATTAGCTATTGGTAACTGAAACCTATAAACTAAACAAACCTTATTGAATTAAATTCCTGTAGTTATTCTTGTCTCATCCATTCTCTCAAAATCTGCTATTTTTTTGAAAGTGAGAAGATATTCAATACATTCTTTTTTATTAAAAATGGAATTCGAGGGGATAATTTCAATATAAATAAATTTATTCTACAGATTACCAAATGTATTAACAAGATGAACATATAAAAGATTACTACCTTAAAAAAATGGAAGAATGCTTGCAATAAGTATAAAATTAGGTTGAAGTAATATTGTTCATTAATGAATCAATTAGTCTATATTTGACAATATCGATGCTTAACTAGATTAAATTCTTAAGAGTACTTCTTATGCTATCGATGATAATTAACAAAATTCTCTTCAAACATTAACTTCTGAATATTCTGATAATTTTCCTTGCCATAAATTTGAAAATTCAAACTTTGTTGAATAACTTTATCAAGTTATGCAACCATTAATCACAAATTATATGAAAAAGAAAGAATTGTAGGATTAATTATCATAAAATGAACAATAAACCAATTTACAAATCAAAGAAGTAACTGAAGGCATTGTTTAAGAATGTGAAAATGAAAAAAGTAATATTTCGATGTCAATGGAACCTAAACTTTAAGACTAGGATAAGGGCTCGTAAACATTAGTTGAAAATATTGATGCAAACATTATTAGTATACAATCAAGCATACTTTAATCTTCTTATCTATAAAAGATGAAACCATTCTGCTATTAATTAATACAAGATTATTCATTTTAATAAAATGAGATTTGCTTTGCAATAGCTCTTAATAAAAGTTCCTCCACATTAGTGGCTGGGTGTAGATCATAAATTAAATTATTTGAATTCAGGTATGGTATCCTGAAACATCTATAGAGCTTAAATGAACACAAGAGTTCCGTATTTACTTTAAACTTTATGAAGAAATCTAATCATTTTATATCAGGGAGCAGAGATGGTACTATTATTATATGGCAAAAAATATAACAAAATTTATGGAGTAAATAATAGATACTAAACGGACATAGTCATTAAATCAATTGTTTAGTAATAAATAATAATGAAGATCAAATTATATCAGGGAGTGATGACAAAGCAATCAAAATTTGGGCAAAGAAAAATGAATGGTTATGTTAATAAACTATTAAGGATCATTCAAAATCTGTATATGGATTAAGCTTAAATTCATAATAAAATCGGTTGATATCTTGTGGTTTTGATAAGTTTATTTTAATAAGAGAATAATCAGAATTAAATAAAGAATGGATAACAGTTTAAAAGCTAACAATTGAGTAGGATGGATATCGCATATGCTTTATTGATGATAATACCTTTGTATTCTCGCCATATAATACTGAAAAGTTATAGGTTTTTGAGATGAATGATATCAATAAATAATTTATATAGACTTAAGATATTAGTGTTAAATGTGGATTAGATGGCTAATGTTTTTTCCCTTCATAATTTATTGATTAAAAACAAATCCTTGTTTTTAAAAATGGGGAATTTATTAATCTGATAAGGAAAAAGTCGAATGGAGAATTTGTTACTGAATAGTCAATTAATTTCGAAACGAATTCTTTCTTTGGAAGCATGAGTGATGATGGAGAGTATTTGATTACATGGGACAACAAATCAAATTAAATACAAATCAGAAAATAAATGGAAAAATGAATGAAAATATATAATTATTTATATCAATGTAAATTGATTAATTTATAATCAACCTTTGTTTTGAAACTATTTATTCTGTAGTGTAAATATTAATTATAAATAGTTTTTCATATTTTACTTGAGCTAATTATATTTTCTCAATGTAAACTTAAAGTTTTTCAAACATTTTCAGAAAAAAAAAAAAAGCGGCCATAAAAAAATGAATTTGTGTATAAGAATCAGAAGAATGAGACCATTGTGTAATATCAAAAGTTTGCAAGATAGAAGGTTTATTGAGAAAGAAGATAGAGAAAAAGAAAATGATAAATTGTAATTAGAGAAGTTAAAGAGTAAAAATTTATAGTAGAATCAATATTAAGAAAGAAGGAGAGTGCTATATAGTGAAAGATGAGACTGAGTAGTTGTTTAATTAAAAAACTAGAGAGTATATTCATGATTATTTAAGAAAAACTTGAAGAGATATTCATATGGCAAGAGGAAATTGATAGGAAGAACTCGAATGAACCTATGGGTAATTAGATAAAAAGAATTTAACAAAAAAATAATACAAAATGCAAAATTTTGAAAGAAAAAAACAGTAATTGCCATTCAATTACATATAAGTATTTTTATAATTAATTTTTTTATATAATCTGTCTAATCCATTTTTAATTTAAGCGCTTTAAAGTAATTTAAGAAATAATTAATTAAAATCTGGAATTTAAGAAATTATTTATTTAAGTTTAACAAGTTTGTTTTAAGAATAATTTAACAGCATCATTTTACTTAAAATATTTATTAGTTTGTAATATGATAATAGCTCTAGGAGTAAATTTGCTTGAAATTACATTTTCAAAAATTAATTTCTATAAAAAGTTTGTTATATAATTCTCCTATTTGTAATTTTATTTTCAAAAATTATTTACTTTGATAGTTTTAATTAAATGTCATGCAAGATTCACTGATAGCCTGAACTTCAAAATTTGAAGACAATAATTTAATTTCATTTATTGGTAAATTTGTAGGAGGTTTGAGGACGAGAATACTTGAGTATATAGACTAAAGGAAAGCATCATAAATTCTAAGCAGGGGAAATTTGAACGCCCTTCAAACATTCAAAAGTTCAACGCGAAAACCTTGAGTCAAATATGACGGATAAAAATTTGCTTAACATCAGAGTGCTTCCTTAGATTATCTAATCTGTTATTATTTTAGACCTCTTTAAAGATGTAAATAAACAGTTCAGGGCTCTTGTCTAGCTGTGTATGGTTATATTTTCAATTAAATTTTCTTATCATTTATATGATTCATATGAAAAATAATATAAAAATACTAATTAATTTTTCAAAATTGATTGTGTGTTCTAAAAGATGATCAAAAAAGGTTTCATCTGAGATCCCTCGCAGATCTTACAAGGCTTCAGCTCAGGAATAATAAAATGATTGAATCTGATTAATCATTAAATTTAATTTGAAGTTTAGGCTGAGAGTTACAAAAGGTTTGAATTATTTTTGATTAGAAATTTTGAATAGACTGTTTTTTACAAGATGCCAAAAATTTTATATAAAGTAAATTTCTATTAAATATTTGAAAATGTAAAAATGCCATTATTAACATCTTATATCTTATAGCATGAATTAATATTCTAGTTTGACTAACCAATAATACTAAATAGACTTAAAAGATGGAACGGATTTACCATTGCAAGTACATTATAAAGAAATATTAAAAAAGTCATGAAAAGGAATTAATTTATATAGACTATTATCTAATAGAAATCCTTTAACCATCTATCAAGGCAATAAAAATGAATTAATAAATCATAACTTATTAAATTAACGACTGTTCAAATATTAAATTGCTATATCCAAACGATTCTTTTTATCTAACATCTACTCTATTTAAATATTCAAAATTAATTTTACTTTAAAAATCTTGATACAATTAATTTTAAGGGTTTATACTAATTGCAGAATTAAAAAATTTCAATATTTCTCTCAATTTATCCAATTAATTTAGAGCAATGGCTATTAAAAATTTAGAGTAATTTTACCTTCAAAATTTTTATAATCTTTTTTTTTTGGCCTTGTTTGATTGATCAAAAAGCAAGAATGTATTGTTTCTTCAAAATTATTCATTTAACTTAGAGCAATCGCTAAGAAATATACATAGTTAAATACACCTTTGCCAAAATAATAATCTGAAATTTTAGGATCTAGACTAATGGCCTTATCAAAATAATTTTATGATTCCTAAATTTTATTCATTTAAAATANTGTGTAATATCAAAAGTTTGCAAGATAGAAGGTTTATTGAGAAAGAAGATAGAGAAAAAGAAAATGATAAATTGTAATTAGAGAAGTTAAAGAGTAAAAATTTATAGTAGAATCAATATTAAGAAAGAAGGAGAGTGCTATATAGTGAAAGATGAGACTGAGTAGTTGTTTAATTAAAAAACTAGAGAGTATATTCATGATTATTTAAGAAAAACTTGAAGAGATATTCATATGGCAAGAGGAAATTGATAGGAAGAACTCGAATGAACCTATGGGTAATTAGATAAAAAGAATTTAACAAAAAAATAATACAAAATGCAAAATTTTGAAAGAAAAAAACAGTAATTGCCATTCAATTACATATAAGTATTTTTATAATTAATTTTTTTATATAATCTGTCTAATCCATTTTTAATTTAAGCGCTTTAAAGTAATTTAAGAAATAATTAATTAAAATCTGGAATTTAAGAAATTATTTATTTAAGTTTAACAAGTTTGTTTTAAGAATAATTTAACAGCATCATTTTACTTAAAATATTTATTAGTTTGTAATATGATAATAGCTCTAGGAGTAAATTTGCTTGAAATTACATTTTCAAAAATTAATTTCTATAAAAAGTTTGTTATATAATTCTCCTATTTGTAATTTTATTTTCAAAAATTATTTACTTTGATAGTTTTAATTAAATGTCATGCAAGATTCACTGATAGCCTGAACTTCAAAATTTGAAGACAATAATTTAATTTCATTTATTGGTAAATTTGTAGGAGGTTTGAGGACGAGAATACTTGAGTATATAGACTAAAGGAAAGCATCATAAATTCTAAGCAGGGGAAATTTGAACGCCCTTCAAACATTCAAAAGTTCAACGCGAAAACCTTGAGTCAAATATGACGGATAAAAATTTGCTTAACATCAGAGTGCTTCCTTAGATTATCTAATCTGTTATTATTTTAGACCTCTTTAAAGATGTAAATAAACAGTTCAGGGCTCTTGTCTAGCTGTGTATGGTTATATTTTCAATTAAATTTTCTTATCATTTATATGATTCATATGAAAAATAATATAAAAATACTAATTAATTTTTCAAAATTGATTGTGTGTTCTAAAAGATGATCAAAAAAGGTTTCATCTGAGATCCCTCGCAGATCTTACAAGGCTTCAGCTCAGGAATAATAAAATGATTGAATCTGATTAATCATTAAATTTAATTTGAAGTTTAGGCTGAGAGTTACAAAAGGTTTGAATTATTTTTGATTAGAAATTTTGAATAGACTGTTTTTTACAAGATGCCAAAAATTTTATATAAAGTAAATTTCTATTAAATATTTGAAAATGTAAAAATGCCATTATTAACATCTTATATCTTATAGCATGAATTAATATTCTAGTTTGACTAACCAATAATACTAAATAGACTTAAAAGATGGAACGGATTTACCATTGCAAGTACATTATAAAGAAATATTAAAAAAGTCATGAAAAGGAATTAATTTATATAGACTATTATCTAATAGAAATCCTTTAACCATCTATCAAGGCAATAAAAATGAATTAATAAATCATAACTTATTAAATTAACGACTGTTCAAATATTAAATTGCTATATCCAAACGATTCTTTTTATCTAACATCTACTCTATTTAAATATTCAAAATTAATTTTACTTTAAAAATCTTGATACAATTAATTTTAAGGGTTTATACTAATTGCAGAATTAAAAAATTTCAATATTTCTCTCAATTTATCCAATTAATTTAGAGCAATGGCTATTAAAAATTTAGAGTAATTTTACCTTCAAAATTTTTATAATCTTTTTTTTTTGGCCTTGTTTGATTGATCAAAAAGCAAGAATGTATTGTTTCTTCAAAATTATTCATTTAACTTAGAGCAATCGCTAAGAAATATACATAGTTAAATACACCTTTGCCAAAATAATAATCTGAAATTTTAGGATCTAGACTAATGGCCTTATCAAAATAATTTTATGATTCCTAAATTTTATTCATTTAAAATAAATTAATCGCTATGTAAATATTCAAAGTTAATTATACCTTAAGAATAATAATATTCTGAATTTTCAGGGTTTTTATTAATAGCAAGTTTATAATATTCTGATGCTTCCTCAAGTCTATTCATTTAACATAAAGTAGCCGCTGTTTAATATTCAAAGTTAATTATACCTTTGCCATAATAATATTTAGAATTTTGAGGGTCATATTTTATTGCTAAATCTGAATTTTCCAAAGCCTCCTCAAATTTATTCATTTTATCTAAAATAGCCGCTGTTTATAATGAAAACAGGTTGTTACCTTTATTATCAAAATACTCAGAATTAGTCCTGTTTTTCGAAATTGCCTAATCATAATTTGATAATGCTTCATCTAATCTATTCAATCTATCTAAAGTAGTAGCTGTTTGCAGATAAAAAGTTAATATACCTTTTTTATTAAAATACTCAGAATTTTAAGGGTTTAACATTATGGATAAATCATAAAATTTCAATGCTTCTTCATATTCATTAATTTATGTTAATGTATTAGCTATATAAGCATTCAAAGTTATTTATACCTTTATAATAGTAATATTCTGATTTCTCAGGGCTTATCAAAATCGCTTAATCATGATATTTTAATGCTTCTTCAATTCTATTCATATTGCATAAAGTATACGCTGTGTGCAAATATAAAGTTAATATACCTTTTTCATTAAAATACTCAGGATTTTCAGGGTTTTTTTCTATCGCTAAATCATAATATTATAATGCTTCTTCTAATCTATTCAATTTAACTAAAGTAGCCGCTTTGTACAAATTAACATTAATATACCTTTTTTATTAAAATACTCAGAATTTTCAGAGTTTCTCTCAATAGCAAAATCGTGATATTACAATGCTTCTTCTAATCTATTCAATTTATCTAAAGTAATCGCTGTGTACAAATACAAAGTTAATATACCTTTAGAGTTAAAATAGGCTGAATTTTCAGGGTTAATCTAGATGGCTTATTCATAACCTTATAGTGCCTCTTCAAATCTATTCATGCTATATAAGGTAGACGCTTTGTAAATATCCAAAGTTAAGTTTACATTTGTTTGAAAAATATTCTGAATTTTGAGGGTCTTCCTTAATAGCTAATTCATATTATTCTAATGCTTCTTCAAATCTATTCAGTTAAAATAAGGCAATCGCTATGGATATCAGAAAAGTTAATATACCTTTATTATTATAATAGTGGGAATTTTTCGGGTTTATCTAAATAGCTTAATTATAATAATTCAATGCTTCTTCCTATCTATTCAACTTCTTTAAAGTTATCGCTATATAAACATTAATAGTACCTTTATGTTCATAATAGTTCGAATTTTTATGGTTTTTACCAATAGAAAAGTCATAATATGTTAACGCTTCTTCTAATTTATTCAATTAATCTAATGTAGTCGCTTTTAAATATATGGTAACTCAACCTTTGCTGAAATAATAATCTGCATTTTCAGGGTTTTTTTAAATTGCTATATCATAATATTCCAAAGCTTCTACTAATCTATTCAATTATACTAAAGTGGTAGCTTTTTAAATATACAGAAATAAATCAACCTTTGTTGAAATAATAGTCTGGATTTTCAGGGTTTTTCTAAATAGCCAAATCATTATTTCCTAATGCTTCATCTGGTTTGTTCATTCTTTGTAAAATAGCAGCTATTTAAAGATAAAATTTAATATTACCTTTGTTATTGTAATACTTATCTTTTTCTGGATCTCTCATTATAGCTGAATCTAGATTTAGCAATGCTTCGACCAATCTCCCCATTTCTAATAAGTTGATAGCTAAAAAATTAAAGAACTAACTCTACCTTAGTCATGATAATATTTTGGATTTTCAGGGTTTAATTAAATAGCCAAACGATAATATTTCAATGCATCTCCCCTTCTATTCATTTTACTTAGAATGTTAGCTAAGAAGATAAACTGAACTTATCATACCTTTATATCCTAAATATTCGGAATTTTTAGGGTTCTTATTAATAGCAAATTCACAAAATTCTAATGCCTCATTCAGTCTCCCCATTAATTCTAAGGTGATGGCTAAGAAAATATGGAAAGATTACTTTACCTTAATGGTAATAATATACTGAATTTTCAGGGTTTATTTAAATAGAGATATTATTATATTCAAATGCTTCTTTCAATCTATTCATTTTCCGTAAAGTGTTTGCTATATAAAATAAAAAATTATGTATACATTTATTACTATAAAAATGTGAATTTTGAGGATTTTTCTAAATGGCTAAATCATAATTTTTCAGCGCCTCTTCAAATCTACCCATTTCATCTAAAATACTCGCTAAGGAAATGCAGAGTTAATTTACCTTTATAATTGTAACATTCTTCATTTCCAGGATTATTCTATATAGCAAAGTTAAAGTATTCTAACGCTTCACACAAACTATTCATTTTCACTAAAGAAACCGCTTTGTAAATATGCCGAATAAAGTATACCTTCGTTATAATTATAGGTTAGATATTTAGGATCGAACTAACGAGCCTAATTATAATATTTAAATGCTTCTTTAACCCTATTCATTTTAAATAAGATGATAGCTAAGCAATAAGCAGAGTTAGTATACCTTGATTCTGAATATAGGCTGAATTTTCAGGGTGTTTCTCAATATCTAAATTATAATATTCTAATGCTTCTTCCAATCTATAGCTTTCAATTAACTCATCAACTATAAAAATATTAAAAGTTAACTCTACCTTTCTATTATTAATTATCTGTATTTCCACAATTTTTCTGAATATATGAATTAAATTATTCTAATCCCTCGTCTAATCTAACCATTTGATATATATTTATATTGTATCTTCTTTTTATCTACGCTTTTATTAATTGTTAAATTCTTTTAATTATTTTATATTGAATGCAGTCTTAAATCTTACCATTTCGTTTATTTCGAAGAAATGACACCCTTTCTATAAGCTTTCTTTGATTTTATTAATAAATTAATATGGAAGTATTATAATTACTAATAAGTTACCAAAAATAATTTATTGCACCTTTCTATTACTTATTAATATATCTAGTTATTTTGGTAATCTTGACAGAATTGCTTCATCTTTTTTATTATTTTATTATCTTAGTAATAGAAAAATGGTGATTGTTTTAATATTAATTAAAGANGATAAAATTTAATATTACCTTTGTTATTGTAATACTTATCTTTTTCTGGATCTCTCATTATAGCTGAATCTAGATTTAGCAATGCTTCGACCAATCTCCCCATTTCTAATAAGTTGATAGCTAAAAAATTAAAGAACTAACTCTACCTTAGTCATGATAATATTTTGGATTTTCAGGGTTTAATTAAATAGCCAAACGATAATATTTCAATGCATCTCCCCTTCTATTCATTTTACTTAGAATGTTAGCTAAGAAGATAAACTGAACTTATCATACCTTTATATCCTAAATATTCGGAATTTTTAGGGTTCTTATTAATAGCAAATTCACAAAATTCTAATGCCTCATTCAGTCTCCCCATTAATTCTAAGGTGATGGCTAAGAAAATATGGAAAGATTACTTTACCTTAATGGTAATAATATACTGAATTTTCAGGGTTTATTTAAATAGAGATATTATTATATTCAAATGCTTCTTTCAATCTATTCATTTTCCGTAAAGTGTTTGCTATATAAAATAAAAAATTATGTATACATTTATTACTATAAAAATGTGAATTTTGAGGATTTTTCTAAATGGCTAAATCATAATTTTTCAGCGCCTCTTCAAATCTACCCATTTCATCTAAAATACTCGCTAAGGAAATGCAGAGTTAATTTACCTTTATAATTGTAACATTCTTCATTTCCAGGATTATTCTATATAGCAAAGTTAAAGTATTCTAACGCTTCACACAAACTATTCATTTTCACTAAAGAAACCGCTTTGTAAATATGCCGAATAAAGTATACCTTCGTTATAATTATAGGTTAGATATTTAGGATCGAACTAACGAGCCTAATTATAATATTTAAATGCTTCTTTAACCCTATTCATTTTAAATAAGATGATAGCTAAGCAATAAGCAGAGTTAGTATACCTTGATTCTGAATATAGGCTGAATTTTCAGGGTGTTTCTCAATATCTAAATTATAATATTCTAATGCTTCTTCCAATCTATAGCTTTCAATTAACTCATCAACTATAAAAATATTAAAAGTTAACTCTACCTTTCTATTATTAATTATCTGTATTTCCACAATTTTTCTGAATATATGAATTAAATTATTCTAATCCCTCGTCTAATCTAACCATTTGATATATATTTATATTGTATCTTCTTTTTATCTACGCTTTTATTAATTGTTAAATTCTTTTAATTATTTTATATTGAATGCAGTCTTAAATCTTACCATTTCGTTTATTTCGAAGAAATGACACCCTTTCTATAAGCTTTCTTTGATTTTATTAATAAATTAATATGGAAGTATTATAATTACTAATAAGTTACCAAAAATAATTTATTGCACCTTTCTATTACTTATTAATATATCTAGTTATTTTGGTAATCTTGACAGAATTGCTTCATCTTTTTTATTATTTTATTATCTTAGTAATAGAAAAATGGTGATTGTTTTAATATTAATTAAAGATATGATAATTATAACATTCGTTCACCTAATTTTTTTTGGGTATTCTTTTTAATAGCAGGATTAGATGAAAATTCTTTTATTAGATTTAGTTAGTTCTACTACGTGTTTAGAAGTCTTAATTCTCTAAATTTATTATGATTAATTGTTTATAGGTCTTAGATTAAAATGGAATATTAGATATCAATTCATGCAGATGGAGGAGTGAAATTCAAAGTGTAGAGATTATTTCCCTTAGAGTCTCTTTATTGTCTTATCAAAAATTAAATGGTAACTAAACAAGAGTCAGAAATCTATTCAATAATTTTACATTAGTTTATTCAGAAGGAATTATATAATTACTTAATAAATATTAATATTAAGGCTGTGACAAAATATGTATAAGTTAGTATTTTATAATAGATTTCAGTTTTAAGTCCTTAAAGAAAGGTATTAAAATTGTGAATATTTTGGATAACAATTTTGCATGAAAATATATTTTATATTGATTTTAGGTTGTGGTCCAAAATTAGTGTAATTAACTTTAACTATAAACTTTATTAATCTGAGAAAATATATTAAGATGTAATAGAATTTATTTATATTCATTATTTTTTAGATTTCTAAGCATCTTTACTTTAATGCTTTATCTCTACCTAAAATAATCAGAACTTAATTATATATATGTCTTAATATTCTAAACCCTTTCTGGTATCACCTTTAAATTTAACAAATTATATAGTTCAGATCTTAAACAGTTCCTTATCCACTTCATTGAATGAAATGGAATTCATTCAACTTATTCGGAATTCAAAAGTGATTACAGGTAGTCAATTTTTCTCATTACATTTTTATTGGAGCATATCAAAATATCAAAGGATGTTATTAAATATTTGTACTTGTAAAAATTCTTCCTCTCATTTTTGTTTTCATTTTCATATTATAAATTAAAGATTTAACGCTTTAAAAAGTATTTTATACTATAAGAGTTGATAAAACTATAATTATTAACTTGATAAAAATTGTGAGAATTTGGAGATTAAATAAAAGAGAAGTTAAACAGAACACATAGAAAAAACAAGAAAGGTCACATTTATAATCGATAAATCAAATTTGTTTTGTTTTCAAATATGGATAGGAATACAGCAATAAATTTAATCAGAATATTTTTTTTTATTGAAATAATTTGCTTTACATCATTGATTCAATCAACTTGGAGATAAATAAAATACTTATTTAACCTTACAATTAAAATACTCTTTTTGTATATTAGAAGCAATAAACCAAACAGCAAAGAAGAATCTTCCTGAGTGAGGTTTTGTATATAATTGGAATATTCTGTGTATGATTATGTGAGCTTTGATAGAAAATTCTAGCTATGCTCTTCTGAAATAAAAGGGTATGATTATAGGACTTCTTACTCAACTTTTTAACTAAGGCCTCAAAGGAATAAGAGTCAGAATTGAGGCAATCTCATTTTGCTTATGAACGAACACTTAGCTTACTATCGATGATAATAAATTATTAATTAAGTGCTAGCATAGCAAATTGATTTTAAAAAGAGGAAATAATTTTCGATAAAATAAATAGAAAAAAAAGTATAATACTTATATATAGACAACATTAACATTAATTAAAATTTTTCGCTTATATAGTTCTGAGAGTGCAGCTCATGAATTAATTATTTCACTAATTTTAAGATCAATTTATTTAATCTCTTATTTAATTTATTCTGTTGTGCTTCAATAAAAGGAGATATCTATGATTTGGGAGATGGGAAAAATTATTTTTATCATTTTAACTTAATATTCAAAGTACATTTGATTATATTTATGCTTCATTCATTAAAATTTTAGGCTTATATTTTGCTCGCCTAAATATCATAAAGGTAGAACTATCAATTGGTTAGTAATAGTATATTTTAAAATATCTTGCAGAGGTAAAAAATTTATTAAAAAGAAGTCATGTGACTAGATGTAAGAAGACGAAAAAGAAAGGCTTAGAATCCTTTTATAATAGTTAGAGTACCTACCTTCTATTTGTGGGGTCCTATTCTGCAATATAAGTATCCTGATTGGGACTTAGAGAAATAAAATATAGACTTAACTCAAATTGTCTATGCATTGCACGAGCAAGATCCCTGATGCAAGATGTAAATAGCTGAGTGTAAATTAGAATGTAGAGATGACTTATGGTATTATATCTACATAAAATCGATAACTTAAGAATCGAAAGGTGAGATTTCAATTTCAAATTAGGAACTCGTTAATTGTAGGCAAAATAGGGAGATATATAAATTTTTATCCAATCTCAAACTGAATAGTTAAAGATAATGGTTTGGCATAATCTGATGCAACATACCGAAATAAATGAAATGGTTAAACAAAGTGTCCTCAAAATTTTTTGTTGAAAAATATTAGAATTATTAGAGAGGAAGACTATTTTGTTAAATCATAAACTAGTATTTTATTTATAAGTGATCAATGTAAATTATTTGATTAATAATATTTAAACCACTATCCTAATGACAACCATTCTTAATATAAGTTTAAAATTTTCTAGTTTTCCTTATTTTCAAATAAATTGTATGTGTAATCATCAACTGTTGATCCACTATTATGATAAAATAGTGGTAATTATCATATTAAACTACTAATTTATAGAATGCAATTAATTATTTTAATTTGACTAATTTTTAAATTTATATATAGCATAAGATTTTCAATTGTAAATAATCGATTGTTTTTATAACAATTCATATATATAATTAAAACCAATAATTGGTAATTTAATTACTCAAATAAAAGTAATTTTTTGATTACTTAGAAAATACTCATTNGCAATCTCATTTTGCTTATGAACGAACACTTAGCTTACTATCGATGATAATAAATTATTAATTAAGTGCTAGCATAGCAAATTGATTTTAAAAAGAGGAAATAATTTTCGATAAAATAAATAGAAAAAAAAGTATAATACTTATATATAGACAACATTAACATTAATTAAAATTTTTCGCTTATATAGTTCTGAGAGTGCAGCTCATGAATTAATTATTTCACTAATTTTAAGATCAATTTATTTAATCTCTTATTTAATTTATTCTGTTGTGCTTCAATAAAAGGAGATATCTATGATTTGGGAGATGGGAAAAATTATTTTTATCATTTTAACTTAATATTCAAAGTACATTTGATTATATTTATGCTTCATTCATTAAAATTTTAGGCTTATATTTTGCTCGCCTAAATATCATAAAGGTAGAACTATCAATTGGTTAGTAATAGTATATTTTAAAATATCTTGCAGAGGTAAAAAATTTATTAAAAAGAAGTCATGTGACTAGATGTAAGAAGACGAAAAAGAAAGGCTTAGAATCCTTTTATAATAGTTAGAGTACCTACCTTCTATTTGTGGGGTCCTATTCTGCAATATAAGTATCCTGATTGGGACTTAGAGAAATAAAATATAGACTTAACTCAAATTGTCTATGCATTGCACGAGCAAGATCCCTGATGCAAGATGTAAATAGCTGAGTGTAAATTAGAATGTAGAGATGACTTATGGTATTATATCTACATAAAATCGATAACTTAAGAATCGAAAGGTGAGATTTCAATTTCAAATTAGGAACTCGTTAATTGTAGGCAAAATAGGGAGATATATAAATTTTTATCCAATCTCAAACTGAATAGTTAAAGATAATGGTTTGGCATAATCTGATGCAACATACCGAAATAAATGAAATGGTTAAACAAAGTGTCCTCAAAATTTTTTGTTGAAAAATATTAGAATTATTAGAGAGGAAGACTATTTTGTTAAATCATAAACTAGTATTTTATTTATAAGTGATCAATGTAAATTATTTGATTAATAATATTTAAACCACTATCCTAATGACAACCATTCTTAATATAAGTTTAAAATTTTCTAGTTTTCCTTATTTTCAAATAAATTGTATGTGTAATCATCAACTGTTGATCCACTATTATGATAAAATAGTGGTAATTATCATATTAAACTACTAATTTATAGAATGCAATTAATTATTTTAATTTGACTAATTTTTAAATTTATATATAGCATAAGATTTTCAATTGTAAATAATCGATTGTTTTTATAACAATTCATATATATAATTAAAACCAATAATTGGTAATTTAATTACTCAAATAAAAGTAATTTTTTGATTACTTAGAAAATACTCATTAGACAAAATATATATATTTTTTATTTCAAGAAACTTAGTAAGTTTAATATATAATATTATATTAGAGTCAGATATAACATATGAAAGATATTTGTAATATTTGGGATTAAAAATCAAAAAAAAAGTATTCTAGATCTTTATGATATCTCTTTCTCCAACTTTAAGCACCTCTTGAATTTAGTAAGTATTAAATTGGCATGTTACACATATGATTGGTAGATATCAATGGCTAAGGTTGATAGAAGAATCAGCGTGAAACCAAATATATTAACCCAACCGACACTTTCAGCTGACTCTTTGTTCTGATTTAATTTCAAAATTTCATATAAAGAAAAGATTGAAACATTAAGCATTATCAATACCTCTGTTAATATTATTTTTAGATTTTCAAAGCGATTCCTGAAAGGTTTATAAATGCAACAGTAAAAAAAGAATGCTCCAGATAGAAAAGCTGAAAGAAGGCATTAAGCCTCCACAAGACCTTACATCACGACCAAATTTAGAATGAATAAGGTTTTTTTGATCAACAAAATAGTGAAATATTATTTAGTTCTTTAATTAGTTTAGTCCTTGATTCCCTCCACTAAAACAGATAAATTCTTTGCAACTACATTCTTTTAGCTTAGATAAAAAATAAACCTACATAACAGAAATGCATTGCATATCAATGTAATAAGAGCTAAATAGGATATTAGTAAGTTTAAAGTGGTCTCTGTATTAAAATTTACCAATTATAAAATGGATGCATATGTCAATTCATAAAAGTTGGATGTAAAAATTCTGATTAATCCAGAGTAAATAAAATACTAATAATATTTCCTTGCAAACCTCTAAATGAAAAAAATAAATTTTGTTGCTTTGTAGTGATAATTACTTTGATAAACAGCTGGCCAATTTTAATAATTACTTAATATGAGAAATTTTAAAAATAAATAAGAAATTATGTAATAAGTAAATCCCAATATTAACATGATTAAAAGAGTTTGAAAGTTTTACAAAAAGTAACAATTAATTTAATAGTATTCAAATTTCCATTTTGCTAAGATGATTGGAGTTTAATAATTAAATAGGCCTTGCAAAGTCTAATCTATCTAAATGTTATCAAAGATTGGTGTAAAGGAGCCCATTGTAAAGATTTAAAAATAGCTTTCTAAGTTTTATGGGAACTCAACATTGTGAAATTTCATATATGACAATTATTAAAGAAGATCAAGGAGATTCCATAAAATCTCCAAATTCCCTGATAAAAAAGAAATTCCACTTACAAATATTATGAAATACAATACTATCCTACTCAGCATGGAAGTTTTCGAAATAAGCGACATTTGAAAAGTTGACAACTTGTAAGGTGACCTGAATTCCAATTTAGCTTCTTTCGTCAGCAAATTGTTACCTTAGCTATTTACTATGTTGTCATTGTTAACTGTAACTTTTAAAACGGGATCTTTTACATTGGTTTTAAAATTGATTAATATTTTATAGGCTACATCTGCCAATTCAGTAGTGATAGAGACCATTGATTTGACTTCAATATCATATTGATTATTTTTAGCATTTATTATTTCAATAATAATCAATTACAGAAATTGCTCTTCACTAATGCCTTTTACATTAAGACACACTGGTTCAGAAAATGATAATTTGAATTCTTAATAACTTGTATCAGTTTTTGTTAGCTTGTTCAATGTAATTTTAGGTTGAATTGTATAGTAGCAAAAACTAATATTATTTTCTGTTGTACATTTCCAATCTTTCTCAATCCTGCAATTATCACTACATCCGTCATTATTTTAACGGTTGCCATCATCGCATTATTCGATTTGTTACACACAATATCCATCCCCACAAATATTATTACATTAATATCCATCTTCTACATATCCTTCTTAACATAAAATACATTGACCTTGAAAACAATCTAAACACATCTCATCACATTAATAAGAACACTAATAACAGCCATCAAATTTAAAGTTATTACCATCATCACATTACTCATTTCCTACTACATAACCATCACCGCATTTTGAATTACAGACACCTTCAATCAATAACCATCCATTCTTATTACATTCTTAACACAACATGCCTTTACATTTATTGCATCCTTATGGGCATTAAACTTAACATCGATAACAACCATCATATGGGAAGTAATTGCCATCATCACATTATTCCTCCTATCCTGTAACAATGCCGTCGCCACAAAAGTGAATACATTAATTGGAGAAGCATTTACTTATATTGACATCCCAAATACATTCAAAATTCTCTCCATCTGTAAAGCAAGCTTCTTATATTTAATAATCCTTGCAACTTTGCTTGTTAGTGCATCCTCCCCCTTATTTAACTGTGCAATATGATAAATACGAATTGCAGTCTCCATGTTTAGTGAGAGCAACTTATGCAGTCTAGCAGGTTTTAGAATAGCACTTTTCATCAATCCAAACACAAGGATTTAAATTAATATCAAATTTACATCCATCCTCTATATTTATATCTTTGCACTCCTTTCTTAAAACACATCGAATCCCATTTGTTACACACCTTTTATCTTCAAATATAGATGCACAAGCTGAATCTATTGCATATTAGTAATCAAAACACCCTTTTATACGACAACCTCCTTTTTGACAAGTTGATAGGAAATTTGCACATTCTTAATGAGATGAGGCATTTGAAGGTCCATTTGCACATATCCGTTCTTAACAGGTACTTTTATCTTCATTCCAGAAACACTCTACTCCATTTAAGTTAATTTATCCATTGCTTATACATTGGCTATGGTTATAATCCATACAAAATGATTAACCAGTTTCACATCCATTTAAGTTTTTATTTACAGAACACGAAACACCAAAATACTAACGACAACTATGCGCTGTATATAAATTTAATTAGGCTGATGAGCATTCCTTCCTCGTACATTTACTTTGGCTCTAAATCCATTCGCATTCGATTTTATTTTAATCAAAATAACATTGTTCCTGAATCAAATAACTATTGCAATCGTTCAATTATTAGCACCCATTCTAGGTAGTATTTACTGTGCACTATTCAAATCTTTGGTTACATTATTCATGAGTAGTAAAATCTGAATCCAAATTTGAACAAGTTAAAATTAAACAAGATTGTGTTAATATTGAATAATAACATTAGTTACCATCTATATCCAAATAACATTGCATCTATTTCGCTAATGCACACGAAAGAGGAAGGTCTACACATTAAATAATATCAAGCTTGACAGTGCATTTTTTGTTGAAGTAGTAAGATTCACACTATTCATGTGTGATATATGAATTATCAGCAGAAGTGCAATCTTCAACACATTAATTAGTATTGGAATTAAATTAACAATTCGTTAGCCAACTATTGCAATCTACATTAGAGGACGGAGCTGTAGGTATATTGATACAGGTTTTTTCTAGGCATTAGGTACCAAACCAGAAGCAAGGAATTCCATCTGAATTGCTGGTATTAGAGCATAATGTACTAGTAGAATATAAGCTACACCCACCAATTGTGTTGCAGCTCGACCCATTCCAAAAACATTTTGTAGTGTAAATATTACAATCTGATATTACTACTAGAAGAGAGCAATTTAATAATTAACATGAGAAGCCATTTAATATGCAATTAGAATTCCAATCATAACACTACTAGTTTGTGCTAGGCATAGCAGTTATAGCTTCACATTTATTTTAACAAGTACTACCATTCCAATAACATTCTATCCCTTAAATTGTGCTAAAACAAGCTCCTTAGTCGAGGTAATTTGAACATAATAGGCTTTTTATCGTGCAAATTATGGTTGATTAAAAAGTAAATGTATTCAAGCTACTTACACTGTTGCAATCTTGATGCGAATTAGGTTTAACCATGCTAGTTGGATAGCAATATTTATTATTGGAGCATTTGTTTGCATTTATTAAACACCAATAACATTTTGTGATTGCAAAGTTATTTGAGCCATAACTACTTTCACAATCAGCTTATATTGTATATTCTAAGCAAGAACGAGGATAACAAGAACCACTTACCCATTTACAATTTTATCCATTATCAAGATTTGATGAAGTACATATTGTTTCTTTTTTGATATGACTACAATCATAAAAAGAGCATCCTAAACCTTTTGTATAATTATATCTGCAATAGGTAGCATTTACTAATAGACATTCACGAGTTGTAACAGAAGTTGTATTAATTTGACAATCAATATCATTTACACATTTACCATCTTACCAATAGCAGTTCTCTTAATAACATTATTAAATAAATTTTATTAATGTGCAATCCCCTGTGTAAGTTATACAACCTGTAGCATCAAGAACACAATTAGATATCCAATTAAAGCAAATATAATCTGTAATAACAGGATAATTTACATAAGTCATATGCTCACACTTTCTACTTTCACAAGTATTAGTCTAAAAATTATATCCACATCTTGAATTAGAATTTAAAGTTGAAGAATTGCATAATTCTTAATCCCCTTATTGTTGACTGCAGTTACTTATATTTTGACAGCACTAACAGTTAGTATTATATATATAATTTGTTGAATAGTCTTAGCATTATTTACTCCTCTACAAAATTGACGTTGAAATATCAAAATTTAAATTCTTTGTTGTGGTTTTTTAATAACAATGATAAGAACAACTTTTTTTATAACAGCTGGAATAAGCGTAACATAGTTATCCAAATTCTGTTTTCTAGCCATTACAATCATAGTATGATTTGTCTGAGCATTGATTATTCAATCCGCACGCTCCATTATATGAGCACTTAATGTTTGATATCATTATAGCACTCTTACATATATTACTCGATAAATCTGAGCAGCTGTAAATGGAGTAACATCCTTATCCACTTGATTATAAAACACAGTAGGGATTATATAATTAACAAACCTCATTGCTTTTACTATCTGTAATCACTTCACAGTATTTAGATTGTACAACTTAACATTTAGAATTAAAAAAATAGCATTTTTCATTTGAGAGTGTTAAAGTTAATTTACATATTATAGGATTTGTAATTAAATTACAATTTGCTGGTCTGACCTCACATCCTGGTCCATAAGTCCCATTAGATTAAATTTTTAATTGACACTAGTTTAATTTTCTAAAACTTAAACATTCAGCCTCAGTTTTAGCAGTCATATTATCACTACACATTACGTCTTTGCAAACTCTATTTTTTACATCCCATTTGCAGGGTTACCAATTTTTTGTGATTACACATTTTTGTTCCAAATTATAATCACACTTACTTGATAGAGTTACACAAGTTCTATTACCAACATCCCATACTGTACATTTTTATAGAAAGCTTTCACAATTTTAATGTGTTAGGTCTCCATAAACTCTCTTGTTACAATCAGTGTCATTATTCTATTCCATGCATTTTTGAAATATATCATCCCAATAACATTGTTAACCGGCAAAATTAGTTCTGCAATTTCTTTGCCTGATGTAATCAGAACAATTTGTCTTTTTTAATTCACAACCTTCTGGATAAAAAGAGGAAATTACAGTGCATTTAGGATTCCAAGCTTAACATTCAATGTGAGTATCATACATACTATTATTTGGAGAGGATGTACAAGCAACAGAACTTGGTCTATCCATGCATCCTCCTACTGTTGAATTATAGATACAATAATCAAGCCAAGTATTACATTCAATATTATTTGTATAATCAATTATAGAAGCATCTGAACATTCTAATAGTTTACATAAACTACCAGTCCAGAAACATTTGGTTCCGTTTTAAAGATTTAATTCACATTATTATTAACTTATCAAATCATCGCAACTCGTCGGCCATAGTTAACATCCAAAGCCAGGGGTTCCTATTATACAGGTACCCTCCACCACTTGATATGAGTTGCAATCTGTATTTTCTATGTATATGCTAGGATCTGCATCGGTGCAAATTTTAGAAACGCACTTTTTACCTATATTATCCCATTTACATTAAATTCCTGAAAAAGTAGAATGACATTATTCTTAAAGAGCAAATTAGCATTCCTTCTTTTTATTAACACATCCAATTAATGCTTTTGAATTTGATAATTCTTACACATTAACTGTGCAATATGGTAGCCATTCTTCGCATTATGAATTACTATCATAATTTGGTGGAGCAGTTAAACATTTTTTGTCTATACATCCTTCATTGATAGAGCAAATTGTCCCTTTTGAATCAATTTCGCAAAATTCGATTTCTTGGATATTTTCACATAAATAATCTTTACAACCCAAAGAATCAATATTAAATGTACAACTTGAACTTGCCTCTTAACATATTTTATGACTTTTGTAGGTTGGTAATTTCAATATATTACATTCAAACAATGTGCATATTCCTTCTAACCAAAAACATCTTTATTTATTATAATTAAATTCACAAAATTATTCTAATAAAATCTCATCACAAGCTTCTGGTGTCTATTAACATCCGCCACCTGTTTTGCCTATACAATTTCCATATTTCTTACAATCTTATTGACTATAATAAAGAGGAGCATGGAAACATTCCCTTTTTGCACATTTATTGCTATACCATATACAATCTTGTTATTGAATTGAGTAACAATCCACTTAACCAACATAACCTTCACATGTTTAAGGTCTTTATTTACATCCTCCATTCTCAGAGGTGACACAATCTAACAAATTGTCATAATCTTAGCATTATTGATAATTTTTAAGTGTATCCGAAGCAGTCTCACAACTTTTGATTTTACATTAATTTTTATAATATTCACATTTATTTCCCTTAGAATCTGTAACACAACCAATTTTATTCTCAGCATCGCTACATTACCCTCTTTTTATACAATGAATTCCATTTGAAGTACATTCACTTAAATATGATTTACATTCATAATCTTAAGAAAAAGGTAGATTGTCACATACTTTTTCAACGCATTTGTTATTTTTAAAATCCCAAAAGCAGTTTTATGAGTTGTTTTTACTTTCAAAGCATTAAAAATCATTGATGTATTTAGTGCATTAATCTTTTTATTTAATACATCCATAACCCTATTCATTTACAGTACAACCATCTAAACCTTATTTACACATTATATGACTAACTAAATATTTGGGCAGTTCCTCACATACAGCAACATCTCTACATTATTTTTCCATCTCTTAAACCCAAAAACAGTAACCTCCCTTTTAATTTTTATTTGCACATCCTAGCTCTGTTTTGTAGTTGCTACATTCCAACATTTCCACACACTTATTCCCGTCAGAAACACATCTATACGAAGATTGTTAGCATTACTCTTTGTTGAATACGATGCAGTCAACAAAGCTGATACAATGTCCCAAATGGAAACCACATTACTTCTATATCCTACAATCTTCTTCCGCGAAATTTTTGCATGTGCTCTCATCTTAATTCTCTGAAATGTATGTTAGACCATAGTTTAAAACACAAACTCCATTCTTCCAATTGCAAAAACCCGAGTTTTCGCATTAAGCTTAACTAAAAACATGTCCACAAACGCATTATTTTGAGATTTCCTGACTACTTATCAATAGAAATAGGAAAAATAATAAGTTATAGAAATTTTTAAATATCATTTAAAATCCATTTTATGTTTTTTAGCCTTATAATTATCAAATTTTCTAATTTCTTCTTAGATTAGTTTCTTTCAATATAATTAATATAGTTGTTAAATACAAAAAAATTGTGCTCAATACTCTAAACAACTATGAACTCCATTTTGAGTCAAAACTAAGGATATAGCCCAAGATTTATCTCTCTCAATAACTTTTAATGTGCTTCTGATAAAAAGAATCCTTCTATTGTATTGATAATCCAAAACGAAAAATGTTATTATAAAATTTTCAAAAACCTTAATTTAAAGTATTCCTTTTTGATCATGATCTTCTTAGCCTTTGCCTTTATTTAATTTCTTAGAATTTCTCATAAAGAAACTCTTTGTTCATACACTTCTTTGAATTTAAGGTGTTTTTTATTTATATTTGCATCTTTAAACCAAAATCTCATAATGCCACCTTAATACTAATATTTAATAATCTACCAATTTATTGCCTTAAGATAGTTGTTTAAAAATCAAGATCGAACTTCCTTCGAAAGATGTCTCAATAATGAAAACTTTCAATATTTATTTGGTTTCTTGGCTGATTTTCTTATAATTGTATTTTCTTATTCCCTACAACTATTTTGTCTAAATCGTTTTCTGAATTATTTATATCATGTACTTTCCTTAATTAGGATTTTAGAAAATGCTTAGCTATATTTTCCAAATTAAGCATTTGTGTAAATGATGAATAATAATAAATATCAATTTAAATTCTTAAATTGTTTTATTAAAAAGAAAACATACATTTCTTAACTAAAAAAATAATTACAGTATTTTTTCATTTGGTCCATATATTACATAGTAGTTTTTCCATTAGTTAATTTTCATAAGTATATGTTGATTTTTTTCAAGAACATTTCCTTTTAATAAAGTCAAGTAAACGTTCTAATGATATTATTAATTTAGGAATTTCATGCAGTATTGCATTTAAAATATGTTATTTAAATAATTTAGAATTTATCGGTAGTTAACTATTATTTTTTTGGAAAGGGCTTACTGCTGGCAAATTAGCTGGAATTTTTTGTACTACTAATTACCCCAAAAAAATGGGAGAAATTTCAAAAAGGAATTGAACTCTACTGATAGAAAATGTATGAAATATTGTATGTTTTTACCTCTTTATAATTTCATAATTATTTTTTTTGATATTCTACAAGATGAGTCAAATTATATCTTTCTCTCTAGAATAACCTTATTAAAATGGAATAACTATAAAAATGTTTTCGAATTGTTCACTCCTTCTTAGTTTTTCAAATTATTTATAGAGCAACACGAAATACCATTTTAACTGTAAAGGAAATATGTTACGATAATTTCAATAATTTTAATTGTAGTTTAAAAATAGCACTTTTTATTTGTTTGGTTTGAGATGGAAAAATTGATATTTAACTTAAACCTCAAAATAATCTTTATATAATAATACATTAAATCATATTTTATTGTTAAAATGATTTTTTTGGTTGATATACATTTCCTACTTTCTTACACTATAAACCTTTCAAAAAAACTTACATCTTAACTCTCTGGTAAAGTTAATCGAGATAGTAGATAACCATTTATAAATTCATAAAAAGTAATGTGTAGGATGACAAATGGAATTTAATTTTGAATATTAAAAAAAATGATTTATAACCTTCAGGATAAGAAAAAATATAACAATGAGTAAACATTATCTTGAAGAATATTATTCTTATTTAAATTAGATTTGAATCACCTTAATCGATCACAATCTAATCAATGAGCTCTTAGAATTATATTCTTATATATATTTTCCTTTCAAAATTTAATTTATAATCCTTACTTCAAATTTCTTGTTTATAAATACTAAAATTTATACTTTCATCTTAATTGAAAAGAAGAAAGAGAATAATATTAAGCATCGTTTGATTTAATAACTTCCAAAAAAAATTTATTCAAAACCAAATTAACGATAGAGATAACATAAATCATTATTAACTTTTCCGAATCATATGTTAAGCTTATTTGAGTAGATTCATGATTGTATCTTTTTTTACATTTCTCTTCTTCATAAAATTATGTTCTCTGTACTCATTTTTATAAAACTAAAATAATAATTATAATTAAATTACCTAAAGGAGAATCTGAGATATATTATTATTTGGATAATATCCTTAATATTCCTTTACACATTCAAAACCTTTAAAAATTTCAAGATATTATCCTCTAATTAATTTTTGCCCATCATAATCTTCATCTGATGAATCATCTGAAGTTATTTTAATTCCTACTCCTCTATATTTTATTTTATTTGTGTCATTACTCTCTTTACTCTCCTTATTATGAGATGTTATTGTTTATTGTCTATCAAATTATTGCTTTAGCTGTTCTTCCTTTTACTTAAGTTTTTCATATTAAGTTATCATACTCTATTCCAATGCTTTGAATTCTTATTCTGGAAAGTGGAGAAGTTAATTTTATTTAGATTCTTAAAATGATATTTACTTCTCAACAAATCTTAATTTATTTTTGCCCATCTATTCCTCAAGAAACTAATTTGTCAAATCTTTCTCTTAAGATTACTATTAGTCATAGTTTTCGTTCGCCTAAGAAATCTCAATATTAGGTCTAGGGGTGCTATTTCTAATAGATTGACTCAATTAATTTTCTAAGCCAAAATGTGATTCCTCTAATTTATTTGCTCTTCTATATATCTTTTCCTATGCCTTTTCAATTGAGTAAATGTAATCATTTAAACTATTCTTTCTCATCTGTTATTCTTAAGTCTCTTTTTTCTGTATTTATGTTGCAATGAATAATTTATTAAATCCAAGTTATTTAGAAAATTTTTCGCTATAATCTTCTCTTTCAGAATGCAAACTCTTAAAAGATTTCAATTTATTTTTCTAATAAACCTATTCAGTCCTTTGTTTTTCAAACTTCTATTTCATAGAATGACACTTTTATGCACATCTTTATTTAATCCAATATGGGTCTTTGGCACCTGTCTCATTTGATGGTAAGATTGAATTTTCTTATTTATTAACATAAGGAAATTATTGGCTGATGTTAACTGTATTATCATTTCCATCATCTCTTCCTTCCTCCTTTTGCGATTCTTCTAATATAGGTTAAATTTCTTAATTATTCAAAGTTGTGATCAATCTAATATCCTAAGACTTGCTTAAAACTCCAAATTAATTTTGTTTTTCTGAAAGCACCTCTAGGTTTTATAGTATGGAATTATTCTTTTAGAAATTCTGATTTTAGAGTTATGAAGAATTTGATTTACAATTTATTGGCATATTTTAAGATAGAGATACTTAATTTGTGAATTGGTTCGATTATGTTTAAAACAGTTTTTCTTCATATTATTACTACTATTTCATGACTGCTTGGAATTCTAATTTAACTCAAATATTTACATTTTTTGATTCCTTCTAGACTACATAGTTCATCGTTCTTCATTATATATTGTAATACACTTTCCATGATATGAAATTGGTATTATTTAGTTGATATTCTTCTATTTTCATTGTTTCTTAATTAGAACTATCTATATTATAGTACATTGTGTCTTAGATGATACAAAACTTTTGTTTTGCTTATACATCCTCTAAAAAATGGGCAATATAGTACTTAATGATTAGATTTACCACAAATTGAACATTGAATCGAGATTTTTTCATATTTATTAAATAGTCTTACATCATCTTCAAAGTTTTTATAAATTTCCTTTTAGTTACATAATATTATACATAATCAATATCACTCTATTTAACACTTGCAATCAAAGATTCTTGATCTATTGTTAATATCTTTGTGTTTTTAGTTGCAATAGCCTCAAAATTATATTCAGTATTAAGAAAAAAATTCAACTAACCAACCAAGCAAGGAGCTTTTATTTTTTCAATAAGTCTTTTTTTATTATTGATTAAAACTTATAATTCAATTTGACCATTTACAAAAATATATAATTTATCAGCTCTATTATTTGACTTAAATAGATATTCATCTGTTTATAAATGTTATTCTTAAAGTTGCAGGCAAAGAGTATTCAATAAGGAACCACTAAACTATTTAAACATATCTAATTATTTTAACAATTTAATATTAATCTCTACAATCATCGAATTCTTTAATTATTAAGGAATCTGATCTTGAAATTGGATTATTTCTTAAGAAGGTTTACTCCAAAAATATTCAAAATATCTTCTGAACTTGATTTGCAAAGTTGGTGATACCTTTTAGTTTTTTAGGTATTTATTTAAGCTATTCATATTTGTTTTAAATTAAGTTTATTGTTTAGACATTTCTTGAAATATTTATCCAATACTATTGACAGAATAAGCAAAGGTTGCAGTTGATATTAATGTCATTATAATACAGAATAGCCTCTCAGTCAAATTAACAGGAGTGATATCCCCATAACCAATTGTTGTCATCGTAACTATACTCCAATAGAAAGAAACTATATATTTATCAATCCACAAGGAATCTTAAAGTTATTATTATTTAAGCCAGGTTACTGAAGTTGCATTACCCCAATTTCCCCAAATTCCTAGTTTATGCCAAATACAAGCTGAAAAATGTGCACAAAACAAGATAAAAAAACTTTTTATTAATGATTTTTATACATTAATTTGATAAGCTCAAAAAGAGTTGTTTATAACTATGTCAATTCTAAACGATTAAATAATGAGTAAGTTAATTTGGATATCTAAAACATTTTCAGTAAAATTACTAGATCCAAATAAAAAAAATCTAATTGTCTTCCAATAAAAAATGGGATGATTAAAAGCATATCAATAAGGAATTCTCGCTTGAGATATCTCTTTATTAATCTCTTTCTGTTTTTTATGAGCACACCTTTACTGTAAATGCAAGTATTAAATTTTATAATTATTTCTAATATGAATGAATAACTTGGCAATTATTCAAATATGAAATCTTTTAAATCCCAATTCATTTCGACAATTTCTGTGAATGATAATCGTAATGAAACATAAAACACATTTATTGTAACAATCAACAAAAAATATATATTCCAAACAATTATTATTATGTCATCAGGTTCCAATAAAAATAACGACAGGATTCGCTTTAGATAATTTCTTCGAAAATCTATTTTAATGAAAGTTACTACATTGTAAGAAATTGAATGTTTTATCTAATTTAATCATATAAGATTAAAGATTAACTTGTTAAAAATAGCCTCTGCACAAATAATAGTGATAATCCGCAGTACTATCCTTAAGCAATTTGAAAAATTAATGATTTAACATGTTAAATGAATTTTAAAATTTTTACTTAGTAATTGCTGATATAAATTTTAAAACTATAGAGATGATGTTGAAACCATACAGTTTCCATGTGCCATTGAATTATTTTTATGATTGTGGCAGTCTCAATAGAGCCTAATTCTAATTATTAAATTGAGTATCATATCTCTTCGAATTCTAGTGTTCTTCATATTATTATGAGTTATTCATTATTTATATATTTTATTTTATTTCTTTTCAAATTATGAAATTAAATAGAAATTTAACAAAGACCGTACCAATCTACTTTAGATTTAGCTATTAATTTTATTATACTCAAAGGAATTAACTCTAAAGTTGGTCTTATCTGTTATTTTCCTTATTATCAAAAATATCATAGGGAAGGATGCCATTTTTTGAGAATATCCAAATATTCAATATCTTGAGGACTTAATATATGAGAATACGTTTACTTTTTCCATTGTATTAAGATATTTTTATTTAAGAAAACCATCAAAATTATAAACTCCTTGAAAGAATTCTATCCAACATTTTTTTAAAGTTTGGTAAATTGAATTTGCATTTATGATTAAAATTTATCGATACATACCAATATTGCCATTCTTGATATAAGATATATTTCTTGTATCTAATCATTAATTTGATTAAGTTCTTAAATATTCTCCCTAAATAATGCTACTAAAGTTTTTATTAGCTAAAAAACCAATTCTTTTTAAAAATGATAACATTTATTTAATACTTAATAGGTTCTAAAAAACATAAGGAAGTATATGGAAAAAAGACCCTTAAATAAAAAAAAGAAAATCAACTTATTAATATCAAAGAACTATATATAAATTATTTCAATATCAATTTGAAATTCTTATTGCTAAGCAGCAATTTAGAGTATTGTCTTCTATAATTTATAATTCCTTTTTATCTAAAATGAGAATTTCATCTAATAAATGTCAACACCTTTTATTAAAATTCTTAAAATTACTTGTTACTTAAGCTATTTAATTTAATGAATAATATCTTTTTTTCTTACTCTTGATCTCATGGAATCTCATAAGTATATGTCAATGCAGTTAGTTAATTAACAGATTCAATAATTTTAGTGAAGTTAAAACCTTTTGGTTTAATTTTATGAATTTAATTCTTCTATAAACATAAAAATGAGATAGATATCAATTTAAAAAAACAGAACCAGTTTATATATTTTCATAAAATAGTCGTTTATTTAATTGATTATGACTTAATTCTATTGTAGTGTTGAAATAAATCTATTTAAAAAGTGTTGGTTTTTCGAAGTAAAAGCTAATTCAAATTAATAATCCGTATTTAGATGACCAGCAATTAAAAATATTATAAAATATTAAACATTTGATAAATAATGTTGTTATCTATCAAGTTAATATAATAAAAGTTAAATGATGCAAGTATTAGGCCTGATTCTAATTTTATTATGCGTATAGGCGTTTAAATTGGTTTATATATCTGATCCTAAAGCTTTATGCTTAGATGGCACACCATCTGTACAAATTTATAAAATAATAAGTCATTTTATAAAGCTGAAGGATATGGTACAGGAGCAAAGAAGTATATTTTGCACTTTTAAGGAGGATCGTAAAATAAATATTTATCTATTTATTTAGGAGGATTGGGGGATAATCATATGATTAATTACTCAAATCAGCTTTGACAAGGTACAATTATAATTTATATGAGATCAAAGACAGTCTTGGGAAGCTCTAAGAATTTGAATTAACAAATGTTTTATCATGGCTGGTTTGAGAGAACGAAAATTGCGAATGAGTATTACTATAATTGGAATATGATTCACCTAAATTATTGTGATGGAACATGTAGAAATTTCATTAATATCTTTAGTACATCAAGGGTATAAATCTGATCCGGTAGAATACAATGGTGAGAAACTATATTTTAGAGGAGATCAAATAGTTAAATCATGGTTGTCAGATTTAAGTGATGAATTATCGAAAGCTGAATTGGTAATAGTTTCTGGATGTTCAGCTGGAGGAATAGCTGCCTACTTTTGGGTTGATTATATAAGATCCTAATTGCCAGCCAGTGTAGTTGTTTATGGAGTTCCAGATTCAGGCATTTTCATTGATATGCCAGCTATCGATGGTACAGATAATCAGAAGCAATCGCTTAATTTACTACTGGAACTAGTGAATACTGAAGTTACCCATCCAAATAGAGAATGTGTTAATAACAATTAGCAATAGAAATGGAAATGTTATTATGCATAATATTTGTTGGAGTACATAAAAACTCCTTTGTTTATTGTTCAATCATTATATGATTATTATAGTTTGAGTTAGATGTTCAAAGTGGATTGTTCTGATAATTATAATTTAACATATTGCTCTTAGGAATAATTGGATTTTTCATAAACTCTATATTCAAAAACTCTTGATGTTCTAATGAAAAGAAAGTAAAATTTTTTAGAAACAGGTGGATTTGCCCCTAGTTGTTTAGAACATTGTTTTTTATTAACACCTCGCTATGATTCTTCTGATTGGGAAGTACCAGGATTATCAGGAAACACACTAGAAAACACATTATAAAAATGGCTTAATTCTAATTAAAAATATGATGATAATTTCTACATCGATAGTGTTGAATGGCCAGATAATGATAAGTGCTCAAATTCAGAAATGTCAAACTATTAGATTTAAATTTAGATTATTTTCATAATAATTTTTTCAGTTATATTTAATTGATATAAATTTTGAATATTACATTTATGATAATTTTTTATCAATCAAATCATTTATTTGAATTGAAGCTTAGAACTAATTACATATAACAGTATACGAAATGAGCGCATTTATTCAACAAACTCTTTATTGTTCCAATAAAATTGAAATTTTTTGGCAAATTTAATGAATGAAAAGGGGAATTGTTAAATTTAACACGGGATTAATTTGAAGATAATCAAAATAAAAAAAGATTATATAGTATTACCATCTTTCATTTACTCTACATTTATACCTTAATTATAGTCATTTAAAGAAATCAGCCACCATTATAAATAATATAAATAATTATGATTTTATTTATAATAGTTCTGCTCAAAATTTCTTAAATTCTTGCGATTGAAGAAATCTACTTGACACAAAACGAAAATGTATACCTTCCAAAGAAAAGTATAATTTTATAATCTAATCATACCTTCTATACTAATTTAAATTCGGAAGCACCTGATGTTTAATAGCAATTGATTTAAATCTCAAATGATCTACTCAATATCGATACAATTTACGATATTGAAGAAAAAGTACATGGTATTATTAGTTTTGTTGATCATAATTAGGAAGATCAATATATTTGTCTTTTAAACTAAGACCTGATTGATTGCAAATTCAAAATTTCTAATTAGTTTATTAATAATAATTTAGATATTCAAAAAGGGTCTTTTACATAAATTCCAACAATCTCTATTTAGTGCCAATAAGTGTTTAATTTATTGCAAAATACTTACATCATATAATGTCGAAAAGACTTTGGGTTGACTCTGAAATTACTAAATTAAAATAATAAATTACTTGACACATTAATAATTCGTACAAAATATAAGTAACAGTAACAAAGCATTTAAGATGCAAATCAAATAATCGTATATGAAATAGATTAATAATTTTGTCATTTTTCTATCATCAGTATCAACTAAGAAAAGCTTACTTTTATATTATCTTAATTCACTCTTGATTTAGGAGAAAATCATATTTAATCTGGTGTAATTAACAACGTCGATTTAATTTCGCATAATTATATTCAAGTGATTTACCAATATCTCATTATAAATATAGATTTATAAAATTTTGAAATATTTTAGATAAGTGGTACTAAAGGTTTATAAGAATATTATAATGTATTTACTATTAATGGAAACTCATATTATTTGATGTTGGATTCTTTATAATAAGACACGATAAGCTATGGTTTGAATATTTTCTATTACAATTTATCTAAAGGAAAAATATTAAAATCTAAAATTATCAACTAAAATTTAGTTCTAATCCTTTCCAATTACATAATTATTTTCAATAATGAAAAAATTCATTTAGANGAATATTACATTTATGATAATTTTTTATCAATCAAATCATTTATTTGAATTGAAGCTTAGAACTAATTACATATAACAGTATACGAAATGAGCGCATTTATTCAACAAACTCTTTATTGTTCCAATAAAATTGAAATTTTTTGGCAAATTTAATGAATGAAAAGGGGAATTGTTAAATTTAACACGGGATTAATTTGAAGATAATCAAAATAAAAAAAGATTATATAGTATTACCATCTTTCATTTACTCTACATTTATACCTTAATTATAGTCATTTAAAGAAATCAGCCACCATTATAAATAATATAAATAATTATGATTTTATTTATAATAGTTCTGCTCAAAATTTCTTAAATTCTTGCGATTGAAGAAATCTACTTGACACAAAACGAAAATGTATACCTTCCAAAGAAAAGTATAATTTTATAATCTAATCATACCTTCTATACTAATTTAAATTCGGAAGCACCTGATGTTTAATAGCAATTGATTTAAATCTCAAATGATCTACTCAATATCGATACAATTTACGATATTGAAGAAAAAGTACATGGTATTATTAGTTTTGTTGATCATAATTAGGAAGATCAATATATTTGTCTTTTAAACTAAGACCTGATTGATTGCAAATTCAAAATTTCTAATTAGTTTATTAATAATAATTTAGATATTCAAAAAGGGTCTTTTACATAAATTCCAACAATCTCTATTTAGTGCCAATAAGTGTTTAATTTATTGCAAAATACTTACATCATATAATGTCGAAAAGACTTTGGGTTGACTCTGAAATTACTAAATTAAAATAATAAATTACTTGACACATTAATAATTCGTACAAAATATAAGTAACAGTAACAAAGCATTTAAGATGCAAATCAAATAATCGTATATGAAATAGATTAATAATTTTGTCATTTTTCTATCATCAGTATCAACTAAGAAAAGCTTACTTTTATATTATCTTAATTCACTCTTGATTTAGGAGAAAATCATATTTAATCTGGTGTAATTAACAACGTCGATTTAATTTCGCATAATTATATTCAAGTGATTTACCAATATCTCATTATAAATATAGATTTATAAAATTTTGAAATATTTTAGATAAGTGGTACTAAAGGTTTATAAGAATATTATAATGTATTTACTATTAATGGAAACTCATATTATTTGATGTTGGATTCTTTATAATAAGACACGATAAGCTATGGTTTGAATATTTTCTATTACAATTTATCTAAAGGAAAAATATTAAAATCTAAAATTATCAACTAAAATTTAGTTCTAATCCTTTCCAATTACATAATTATTTTCAATAATGAAAAAATTCATTTAGAACTTTATCAAGACTATAAATCTGTTCATTTTTTAATAGGAATATCCTATTTAGTTGCATTAACTTAACAAAACGACATAAAATTTCTATAAATAAATGATTTACCTCATGTTATTTAATATTCTCACTCACAATGCTTATCAATTCATTAATTTGATTATTTTTTTTATTTAAGTTAAGTTCTTTAATACAAAGTTAATTAATATTCTTTTAAAAATCCAAAATTAATAAAAGCAAATGTACAAAAATTCACTTATGTTTATGAAGAAAATCTGCGCTCGTACATTTATAATTTTTAGATCTAAGGTTTGCCGTTTTCGATATCATTAGATCTTAATAAAAATCAAATAATAAAATAACTTACTAATTATATAACAATCTCAAATTAGTATTTACAAAGAAAATACAAGAATGAAAAAATTATTATTTTTGGTACTGCAGAAACAGCAAAATATATGATTTTAATATTCGGTAATCATAATATTATCAATATTTTCAATTAAGTGTCTAATAATAAAAATGCTATAAAAATTCCCTTCTATTCAGATAATTCAAGAATCTTTTAAAGTATTTCTAAATAAAATTTTGTGATTGTAAATAATTAAACTATTATTGGTTATTAATATTAAGATTATTTAAGAGAAATTTGGGTCTTTAAAGTAAGCCAAAAAATATATGATATTTTATAAATTGGAGATAACTTAGGAATATAATAAGAAGAGTGTAAAGAAATTAAAATTGATTTAGGGAATATGACTTTTTTGTAAATGAATTAATCATTATAAAAAAGTTGTACTTTTACTATCAATAATGGCTTATTTATAACAATTTTAAAGGATAAGATTACAATTAAGGGAAGCACAACAAATAAGCTAAGTTATACTTTTAATAACCTACTCTAACACATATATTTTGTAGATATTAATTGTCTAATTATCTTTGAATTATAAGGAGCATTAATAATTGCAAAGCTGTATAATATTTAATCATAAAAATTATACTTTCTTTATAATTTACCTTTGTATGATTTTGAAATTGTAGAACCAATATCATATAAAGTTGCTTAAACATATTTAGCAATAAAGGTTAAAAACAAAGAAAATTAATTCTTTGTAATGGTGTACAATATCAAATATTTTGCAACAAATTGCTTAATTAAAGTTATTGAAATAGACCCAGATTTTAATGAGTTTAACTATATTGGACACTCACAAATCTTTGTTTAATTCAATAAATAAATTATAGTCCATTTTTTATAATGGGTCCTCTTGAATTTGACCAATTTGTAATTTGATTCAAATACATATTATAACAAATCATTTGTCGAACTATAAAAAAAATCTGATTTATTTTTACAAACATAAAGCATAATAATTGAATTAGTAGCAATTAATACCAATTAATAATTACAAATAATAAATTCATCAATCCCAGTCTATTATTCGATTAGATAACAAAATAAAGAAATTTTTCTAGACAATATTTTTGGGAGTATTGATTTTCTTCTTTACCATAATTCTAATGGATCGGAAATAAAACTAAATCCACTACTCATAGCGGGCTAATTATCCTGCTTGTAACCTTTCTAAAATTAAGTTTGCATATCCCAAAATGATCAAATAATTTTGAATTACTTTGATAAATAAAATAAATTGATCTTCCATTTACCAGAAATTACCTTATCATAATATTAGTTTCTTAGAAAATTGAATAATAACTATGAATTATTTCTCATTTTTTCAAATTAGTCGGGATGTTCATACTTGATAAATCAAAATGGATAGATTTTAACTAACAAAACCTTAGATGTTCGTCACTTGTTTCCAAACTAACCACCACCTGATTTAATTTTCAGTGTTATTGGAAATTTAGGAATACTGAAATCTAATAATTAACCATTATTGGTTTTTAAAATTTTAGAAAATGCGCTGTCCTAATTTTATTAATTTGGTGAAAGTTACGAAAGCTAGACTAGTTTAGTTAAGATTTTATATGTAAACAACAATTATATAATTTTTCATTCTAGCAAAATTTAGAAGGAGACATTTTCTGTTTCTATACTGAATGATTAGTTTGATATAATTAAAAAAATTCAAGTTGATATAAAACATTTAATCCCAGAAAATGATATTAAGATTGTATCTTCCCTTGTTTTTATCGAGATTATTGAGTATTTTTTTAAGGACTTTATAATAGATGCTGATTTAATTCTTTGCTATGAATTTCTTTTCTGTTAAAGAATGGATTTTTAAATTAATTTTAATAATAAGAAATATACATTTGAAACTACTTCGATTATCAGGTACCCATATCGTGAATATTTCATAAAATAAGTGGTTTTGATTAGTAAAACTTAATTCATCATTCAATTTTAAAATTAACATAAAACAGCTTATTTTTATAACTTGAATAATAAATCTGCTTTTATTGTAGATAGTTTTTATAAGGAGACAAAGGATGTCCAATTAGAATTTTATGACTATGATTAATATATAGAAATCCGATAAGTGGAAAACTATGTAGAATTGACATTAATGAATATTAAACCCTACACCATTAAGTGTTCATAATAATGCTCCTAAAGTTAGGAATATATTCAACTTCTTAATTAAGTATCAAATTTGTAAATTGTATTATTTCCCAAGATCAAGGAGAAAGAAAAAATTCCATTTTAATTTAGCCTGGTTATTTTGAATTTCATTACAGTTTTGACATATACGCATTTCAAAAGAAATAGGAAAAACATCAGTAACTAAATATGTAAATGAATTTGAATTTTAGTATATATTATGTCAATTTTTTGTAGAGATAATTTCTGATCTTAAATTCATGTACTTAGAGCTTAATTATATATTTTTCATTTATCACTTAAAGTCGTTATAAATTATAGATATAAAAGATATATAATTTAAAAAAAATGTCTTTAATTTTGTTATTACAAATGTGTATTTATCTCAAATAAAAAAAAAATTGAAAATAGTTTTAATTAGATAGAACTTGAACATAGTTTGAATATTAGTATCTATAGATATATCATAATAATTAATTAAATGTATTCGAACCAATATCGACACAATCATTAAATTTATCAAGAGGGATTATTATAAGAATTAATTAAACTAATAAAAATTAAATTTATTTAGCACATTAAAGAAAATTTTGAATTATTTAAATTTTTATATTGAACCTTAAAATAAGTCTATAAAAATAACACATTCATCTTTATTTTTGAAGTTTATCAAATATATTGGTTAAATAAGATTTCTTTTTCACCAAATATTACAATTATATTTAAATTCAAAATATACTTTTTTATTAAAAATTCAATCCATATTGTGAAAAGAATCAATATAAATCAACTAAAATATAAATGAAATATAATTAGTCAACGAAATAGCCATATTATTCACTCAATATAGAAAACATTTTGCAAATAAAATATAATTATAAATTTACTTCCAAATAATAAAAGTTCATCAGATTGGTGAAGTGGTTAATTAATTTGATAAAATTAATCAAAATATTTATATATTGGATCTTCATCAAAATAGCTTATCTTAATTTTATCATTCTTGAAACTGAAGTTTATTAGATTTGTTAGTTAGAGAATTATTTTCATAAAATAAATCAAATATTTAAGTAAAGAATTTATTCAAACTAATTTATTAGATATTATATAATACAACAACTATCTAATTTTACTTGACAAATTTAACAATGTATATAAACAATATTAGGACTATTGATCTTAAGGATTTTAAGTATTTAAAACATTAAATTTATATATATAGGAAATATTTCATTATTTAATCAACAATAAGAATCATTTTATTTATATATTAATCTATATTTAACACAATAGATGTTTAATTAATATCAATATATTAAAACCTCAATAAATAGATATTTAATTTAATGAAATCCATTAAAGTAATTATAAAAACTAAAATTCAAGTCAT